AAAATATGGTTGAAGACATTATGAGCTATGAGACACTGAATGAGGTCAGTGTTTTTTACCGTGTGCATGCTAAAATTCTTGTTTGTTTATTTTTGTATTCGGACTGTTTCTATGGGAATTTATTATGGTTTTGGGAGGTTTGGTATATTTAAGTTTGGTTTTAGTTATATCTGGCTTATTTGAAATGGTTTGCATTCATCTGTATATTTATGAAATTAAGGTTTACAGTTTTTTACTATAATATCTTGCACCTGCCCAGGAACTGCAGAACAGAATTAGCTTTTAGCTACATCTCCTACATATATTGGGCATTGTCCCTGTTAAATAAATAAATAAAGCAGCAGAAGATGAAGTGATCATGTCACATGACGTCAGTGAACCACAGATCATCATGCTCCTCAGTCTCAGCCGTGTTCAAGGTGGTTTAAGGTCAACTGGACCTGGTGAAGATGCCCGAAGATGTTTGTTTGTATCAGCTTAGCATGATATGCTAACAGGTTGAGGCTAAAGCTAACAGGTAATAACATCATGCACGGATGAATCAGCAGAAAGATCTTTGTTAAAAACACCAGAGCTACAAATCAAACAGGACGTTTAAAGTTTCCTGGATCGGGTCCTGGATCAGGTGCTGCTCCCCTCTCTGGTTCACTGACCTCATTGTCTGCAGCATGCAGCCACTTTAGCTTTGGGAAATTAGCCCAGGCGATTAAATAAGCGGATCAATTAGCATGAAAGAGGTCTGAGCTCTGGTTTCACTGGGTCGGGCTGAAACTCAGACAATGTTTTTATTTTGCATCTGGATTCTTGCTCTTGTCTGAAACAGCTTAAACCCGTTTGTTCTTTGTGCAGGATACTTTGCTGAAGTTTATGGGGACAGAAATGGCGCAGACTGAAATCTTTCTGATATTAGAATATCAGGAAGGTTTCAGGTGTTGTGGATGGATGAAATACTCACTTGATGGGTGAGCTGTAGGAGCCGAAGATGCCGGAGGCGAGAGCTGGAGGTTCATATCCGTTCATCCTGCTTCACGATGGACAGTCGGCTGCAACAAAACACAAAGACATCATCATCATCATCAGCCTCACATGTACTCAGAGAGAGAAGCTCTGATCAGGACCTGCACAGCGCCAAGAACACCTTTATAGATCTGCGTTCATGGCGAACACACTTAAAGCCAGTTTAGAGGAACAACAAACAGTAATACGTAATCCAGCAGATCGTGTTTCAGTGCAGCAAACAGTTGCAGGGAGACTTAAAAACTACACAGTAATACAGTTCTGACCAATGAACAACCGGCTCCAGTTTAAGACTAGGGTTAGATGTCAAGAACCGGAACCAAATTTCCCAGAACTGTGGATTCATTAGGACCCGTGCGTTTGGATCCTGCTTCTCGGTTCCTGACTTCCTACATCTCTCAGCTCCTGACTGAACTGCAGTCAGCGTTTTACAGCCCATCAAAGTGTCTCTGATCTGCCAGCAGCTGCTACGCCGACCGAACGTCACCTCATGCGTCAACAAACCATGAAGAAGAGAGTCTTTCTGGTTTCCAGTCCTGGACCGTGGCGAGAACGACACTTCACACTGCAGCAGCTGCAGTAAGGAGGTTTGGTGCGAAGGAGGAAGCAGCTCAGACATGACGAAGCGTTTCCTTCAACATCTGCAGGAACGCTTCACGTGTTCAGCGTGTCGCGCTCTCCCAGATCCAGCTAACGATAACAGCAGCAACGCCTCAGGTACAGAACACAGGTGAGCTGACGTTCACCTTTTATACTGAAGGGAAACCGATGATGGCTCCAGATGAGACGAGTCCCAGAGACGCCGCTCTAGGACAGAGACTCATTTTACTTTAGAGACATGAAGGGGACGAGGAGGAGGAGGAAGAAGATCTGTGGTGAAGGAACCAGAACCGAGATTCAGTAAGTAGAATCAGAAATTTAAGACCTTCAGCATCTATCTTTACTAGTCTATATATATTTCACTCATCCTCACCATCTAAAGAGTCTGCAAACGTCAGCGGCTTCATGCCTCGACATGTTGAACCTCTCATCAGTACAGGACGCCGAGTTCTTCTTCAGAGAGTTCAAACAGGAACAAAGAGCTCATTAACAAATCATTAAAACCTTCCTGTGGAGCTGCAGGGAAATGTCACATCCAGGCTGAAATTAAAAGCCCTCCACACAAAAGGGGCCCCCCGAGGTGATTTATGAGCAGCCTCAGAGTGTGTGTGCGCAGAGATAACAGCAGCAGCAGCGTTCACACTCGGGTCCTGTATGTACAGTGCTGCCACGTGTGATTACTTTTCCCAGGACTCCATGTTTTATTCAGCTGGGAGTCGACAGACTCCATTTTGGGCTGTGTGTCCATAACAACAGCAGGCTTCTGTGATATCTGCTCCTCTGTGAGAGAATAAGAACCTGTGAGGCCACGCTCAGGGAGAAATGAGCTCAGGCTGAAAACGATTCTCAAGAAACTGAATGGAGAGCATCAAAGCTGTGATTTAGGGTACAAGAGCAACTAAAAGAGCTCGAGTCGCACAAGTTTAATAACCATTAATGACAGATTTTTGTGACTTAAATGTGCCAACATATACGTAACCACCACTAAAGAACAGCATTCAACTCAAAGAGCACAAATTTACATACGTTACTGCAATTCAACAAGCCGTAACATTATGACCACTGACAGGTGACGGGAATAACACTAATTATTATTATTATTATTGGTTACCATGTCACCAGTCAGTGGGTGGGATCTATCAGGCAGCAGGTGAACATCGTGACATCATAGTTGATGTTTTAGAAGAAGGAAAAATGGGCAGCGTGAGGATTTGAGCGACTTTGAAAAGGACCAAACTGTGATGGGTAGAGGACTGAGTCAGAACATCTCCGAATCAGAAGTGGTCCAAGGAGAAGGGATAGCATGAGGGTGATTCATGTTCTCGGCTCGATGCTCGTTCAGTTGTACACGTACACATACACACACACACACACACACACACACACACACACACACACTTCCTGATCATTAAAGATTAAAAGAACTGAAAAAGAAAGAAGAAGGTCCAAGGAAGGAAGCTGTGAACTGGCGACAGGGTCAAGGTTCATTGACACACGTGGGGAGTCACGCGATCCAACAGACGAGCTGCTGAAGAAGCTGATGTTTCTGACAGAAAGGTGTCAGAACACAGAGGAGTCCAGGCCGTTATGGGAGACCTACATTACGATCAGCAGGTGGTCGTAATGTTATGGCTGATCGGTGTGTGTCACAGATTTGTGCAATATCAAATGTATACACATCACTGCAACTCCAAAAAGGAGATTAATGACTATTATTTAATATAATAATTATTTAGTAGGGGTGTGCCAAGACCTCGTGCAACAATCTCTCATGAGGTTAAAAGATGACTCAATTTACAGTTTCCACTCGCTCTCGTGCCACACGTCAATTTCCTCCTGCGGTGAAAAAACAAATGTATAAGTGATCACGTCGACTCGAGGAGTGAATCAACTCCGCCCACCTGATGCGACACCTGCGTACGCTGCGATAGTAATCAAGTGAACCCGCTCTCATGTTGTGAGTCCAGACTGAGCAGTAACGTAGCTGCTAAGAGTTTAAAACAGCCTCGCTCTGTTTGGGACTGTGAGGATCTGAGGTGAGATTTCTGTCTGATCACAAGAGTTTCAGTTTCAAGATGGTCTGAAAGGGGAAACTACCAGCGGAGAAATAATGAGTATAGATCAGGTAGACTTAAAAACATTTTCTGAATTCTCATTAAATGATGACGTTATTTTCTCTGGAGCTGTCAGAGAACACAGATCTGTGGGAGAGATTCTGCAGAAAGTTTTGAACATGAGCAGAAAAGCTGCTGAAACACAGGAGCTGTTAAAGTCCAGGAGTTTCTAACTGAATTACAATGAATTCATTTCTCATTGAGGTGAAAAGGAGCCACATTTAAAGAGGTTACTTCCCCAAACAAAGACACAAAGAGGAGGGAAGACTGAATCATGACGTGTGAACAGTAACGTAACGATTTAGTTTCAATAACCAGTAATAAGTAATTTAATTACTTTTTTAAGGATTACTAAGGAAAAAGCAACTTATTATGAGTAACTTGCCCAACACTGACCAGGACACGCTGAGCCCCGCCCCCTCCCCGATGATGTCACCACCTTCAGTCTCAGGAAATACAGCTGAACATAAAAGATGACATCATCTCATTGTTACTTCCTGATAACAGCTTACAGGAACGCCGAACACACATCAGTTACTGTGATAACCACAGAGGTCAAAAGGTCAGAGTTCCAGACGCCTGGTTGGTTGGTAATATATCGGCTCTTTATCAGTGTTTGTCCATCGGCACACTGAAATCCACTTCCTGTTTCACTAGAGCTCGCTGAGAATCAGGTTTTTATCGTTACAGAAACATAATAATCATTACAATCAGCTGTGTGTCACCACAACAATACAAACCGCTTCTAAACAGATTTTTCTCCGTGCAAACTGAATTCATGTGTTTATGGATGTAAGCGGTGGCTAATTCAGGGCGCTGCGTTAGCGGCCTCTGTGGGCCGCATCTCACGCATCTTTAAAAAAGTGTTAACAGCTGTACACATTAAACTGTAGTGCTTGAAATCTCACCACATTTCAAACTTCTTTTCTCTACATTTACTTCTCTTCAACTACTTTACGATGGTTAAATGAGGTTTGCTGTGAGTATCGTGCTCAAGATAACATTATTTTCTTAATGTTTATTTAAGCATTTATCATTCCCAAGGTATAAGACAAATACCATCTTAGTTGTCATAGGCCTACATTGAGAAAATGCTTCCTAGAGTCATGTTTCAGAAAGCTTAAAAATACAGCCTGTACATTTTATCTTTAGGTTCGAAGACATGTAGGCCTAAAAACAAAATAATTACAACTTTTCAACAATTCATGTTCTAGCCAACAATGCAAATCTGCATCAAGCTTATTTCCCTCGCTGACTGCCTTCTATCTAAACAGCTCAGCGTTTCCCCCTAGGATTTATTTCAGGGGGGTGGGAGACACCCAGAAACCACTAGTGTCGCAGCGGGGGCGTGTTATGGATATGCGGTGTCATAGAAGCGACGCACTAATTTTTACCTGTTTAGGAGGATCGTCACCTTCTCAGTTCCTCTTCGACATTATTACTGCTCAGGTTTCTGTCTCCAGATGGAGCGGTCTGCAGTTAAGGTACACAGCGTTCGCTACGAGACCACTTAGAGGCCCAGAAATCTCATTTTTGATAGAATTTGTTTAAAATCAGTCAATCAATGTTTTCTGTTAAAAAGTTTGTGTTTTACAATTGAAGCACATCTTGTCATCAGAAAGAGAAAGTGTGTAATCATGTGGTGGTAAATACAATTTCAACAATTCAAAAAGAAAATATTACAAATTTAATCAATATCAATGATTTTGATGTATCATGCAAATATGCATATAGAAATATTCAAAACGCATTTGCAAGTATTTATTGGGACAAATCACAATAAATTTATTGCAACAGTAGGATATTAAAATCCTACAATAGCCTACTATTTAATAGGGGACAATTCACAATGAATATATGAGTTGCAGGGGAGACAGAAGGTGTTAAAAACAAAAGAAAGGAGCTCAGAGCCAAAATGGATTTTAAACATAAGGTGGAGGAGCAGTTTTGTCCAGGGAACCCCAGACAGACGCCTCTGTGAATGATCTTAACCGGCTTTACGGAAGATTTGACGAAGCATATAGGTAGGCTCCACATATGGATAACAAATTCAGTTTCAACGAAAACAGTGGTTCCATTTGTAAAAATTCCTTGTGTCAAGCCACTCTTGAACAAGACACAGCGTCAGAAGCGTCTCGCCTGGGCTAAAGACAAAAAGGACTGGACTGCTGCTGAGTGGTCCAAAGTTATGTTCTCTGATGAAAGTAAATTTTGCATTTCCTTTGGAAATCAAGGTCCCAGAGTCTGGAGGAAGAGAGGAGAGGCACAGAATCCACGTTGCTTGAAGTCCAGTGTAAAGTTTCCACAGTCAG